AGGGAAAGGACGGGGAAGCTGAAGCATGTCAACATGTTTACTTGTTGAATTTGTCTGAGTGAGCGAGTCGGCACCGAAATGCGCGAGCTGGTTTCCAAGATAGAGGGTAGGCGCAATTGCGGGTGGGGTGAGTGGATCCCGAAAAGGTTTGAAGGGGTCTGACCGCTTCCCGGCCTTTTGGGACCAAGGCGAATTAGGGCAACTCAGAGGCTCAGGGTACCTAGTAATTAATTGGAAGCCCGTCTTGCAACCCACAACCCACTTAGGGAGATAGAACCATGTGGGCATGTGCACAATTACTGACCATGTTTTGCCACCAAACACCAGGGTTTCCAACTGATCGACTTGGGGTTGGTTCTTCAATTGAGGATACGCTGGAACCAGCTGGAATCCAGCATGAAAAAGGGTTGATTCCTTGCTCATTCTTTTCACTCATTGTCAACACGGGTGTGGCTTTGTTTGAGGATACCCTTGCTGGGGGGGAAAAATAGAAGCCACAAGCAAACCACCCATTTTGATGTCGGTGGACCCAACTGCACCGCGCTGAACTATTATTCCCGATTCATTTCAAGATGGAGAGGGGATGTAGCCTTGGCCCTGTGGCTTTTGTTACTCGGTTCTCGTTTTGCCTTGGACCAATCGTTCAGCTTATGTCCCTGCATCTCCAGAAGCGGTCAAGGTGAGCTGTTTCGACCAGGCGTGCCCTGCAAAAATCCGCAAATCTTTCGGGTTCCAGCCACGGGCATTGGCAGGACAAGGATGTCTACGGCCAGGCCAGGCGCATGTCGTTTCAGGTTGCGTCTTAACGGGAAGCCGGGAGGAAAACCACCCATTCTGATTCTGGGGTTTCGTCTCGTTTTTTTAACGAGCCACACCCATATGGCTCAGCAATTTAATAGGACACCACCTCAAAGTTGGTTGGTACACATGAATCACCACCGAATTGCTGATGGCCACCAAAGGCTCCGGGACCCACTGAAATTCTTAGCCGCATGAGGTGGAGTCGCTGGCCCTGGTGGCGCAGGCTCACATGTTCATGGCGCAGAGCTCAGACTGTCACGTCAAGATCGACTTGGAATCACGGGGGTTCCCTTTTGGGGCCTTTGGGGAACCGGGCTTCAGTTAACCAACTGGAGCCCTGTCTTGCATGACAGCTGCGCATCCTGAGAAGCACGGTCCGACATAGCACCGTTGTATTTGGACACGTGCCCTTGGTGAGTCACGGGTCCCGTCGGCATAAGGTGAGCAAGCTGGATGCTGCTGAAGAGCTGGGGGCCTTGTGCGTCTCGAATACCTACCCACCGCACACATCTTCGGTGGTTTCCCTAACAACTATATTATAATATGAGCAGCGCGCACAGAAAGCATTGGCAATGTTCGGTGGTCGTATTCTATTACCAGGTGTTGCAGACATTACAGTAGGGCGTATATATGTTGATTAGGCCATGGAATGCTTAAGGTTTGCTTTTGGAAATTTTAGACCCGGAAGAGGTGCAAGCTCGCTGGAAGTTGTGGTTGTGGGAATGGAGGGCGAAGTGGGCCCAACACACTCCCAGGTTTAGCCAAAAAGTCTACGCTAGCAACACGACGGGACCCACTAGATTTCAACCAGAGACGGCACATTTCCTATCATTTTGGGTCACATTCGGAATTTTGAGCGATCTCTTATGATGAAAACCACCCTTATGCTCCAATTTGAGGGCTTACTGTAACCTATATGCCCATGTTTGAGGGGATGCAGTTGGGGACACCAGTGAAACCCGGACTCGTTCAACCAGGGTTTGGGGTTGGAATGGCATAAGCCCAATGAGGCAAAAGCAGGGCGCCCGATTGATCCATCCTAAATGGGTGGCTTGCCTTTTCGAGGTTACCCTTTTGTTGGTTTAAAGGGAAGGTGAAAGGAACCCATGAATTTCGGTTCCCCGATTTTGAGACAAACCCTCTTGTGTTCTGGGCATTTTCAATCGAATGGATCTCGCCTGTGTGTTGCGTGGCCAGCGATCGAAGCCAATCAACACACGGGTGATTCGCGGTTCATGATGGCGCCAGAACCAGCCCAGTTGTTAGAAGTTGTTAAGGCATGGATCTCCGATATGTTTAAGCTCCACGCCAGTGGGGTTCAGATCAGCAAAGCGCACGGGCAAGCTTAAAATTTTCAGATTGTTCCCTGGCAACTTGAGGGGCTCCAGGCCATGTGTGTTATGTGTTAGGGATGCCAAGCTTGGCCCGAGAGAAGCACGCATTCCGCCGCGTGCGCGTCGGTCAAAGGGAGGCCATGGCGCCGCTGAAGCTGAACCCCATGATCAGCAAGATGGAAGAGCCCGGCGCTCGGGTTGGCCCTTTGACCGGGCCTTCTCAACCAAGGGTAGTGACCTTGATCTGTTTTGCAACTTTTCAACGCTTGAACCTACGTGTTGTCTTTTTTTGTTTGCAAGGACGCCCTTTTGCAGGTTGTTGTAAAGCGAAAAAGAAGACGCTTTTTCGGGGCCCCTTGTCGAATGAGAGGGCGTTCTTGCTTTGAGAACCCATTTTGATGAAGCGAAACCGATGGACACCGGGCTTCCTTTCCGACATGTTGGTGGGTCCCTTCATCAGCACCCAAACTCGCCCAAAAATTGAAACGGCAAATTTTGGATCGGTGCGTTTAGACGGCAGGAGGTTTCTTTTTGTGAAAGATCCGACCTCATTTTATCGAGACACGCCCAAGCCGAGCCAAGGTCCTTCACTGTGGCCATCTTCAGCAAGGCTCCGAAAGAGAAATAAGAAGAGCAAAGACGAGTCGCGGGGCTTACCCCCATTCCGGAGGGGGGGAGGGGGGTTCATTTGCTGCTTCGCGTTTCGCGAGGTGTCCAACATGAAGAGCCGCGGGGAGAAGGTGAACGGAGCACTTTGCGCCCCTTGGAGTTGAGCTTGAGAATCTAGCGGCTGGCCCTTTGCCCAAAAGGGGGGGGGGGTTGAGGCTCAAAGTCATCAACGGCCCAACACCCCCCCCTTGCCCTCAATTATAGGCGGGACAATTGGTTGTTTTTTTTTGGAGGAGGTTCAAAGTCGATTGGTTTTTGAGAACCCGGATTCAACGTCGATTTTTTGGAGGCCCTGTTGATTGGGAGAGCCTTGGGAGCCCCCAGTGGCCGCGGAGCTCAGGGCACCTCGCCTCTCGCGTCTCGGCTCGCGCCTCGCGCCTCGCGGAGGTGGGGCAGCCCGACTTCCCGCCGCCGCCGGAGGCGCTGCGCGCCACGCAGGAGGCGCCGGGCCTGGGGCTCACCAGCTACACCGCGGTGACAGGACCGGAGCCGAGTCGGACGGAGCCGAGTGGACGGGGTGCGAGGGGGTCTTTGGGCATGAAACGTCTGGGTGGTTGGGGGGTCTCTTGTTTTGTTGCAAGGCCAGAACTGGGTTGAAAAGCCGAAACGGGGGTTGTCTTAAAATGTATTGTTATTGGAAACCAGAAAGAGACTGAAAGGCCACGGAAAGGAAAGGTCCCGTTACACCAACAGTGAGTTTGAAGTCGGCCCATGAGTGACGTGCTCGTCGCATGTCAAAACCCTTTGGGGTACAGAGCTGGAAATGCGGGCGTGAGCCCGAACTGAGCCATCCAACTGGTGGTTTTCTGGATTCCAGGCAGATCCCCTTCTTCCCGCGCCTAGAATTTGGGGGAAGCTTCAATAGCAACAGGGCTCCTTAAAAGATACATTTTGCCCATTTGATTCATGGATTTTTCCACCAAAATAAAAGGAAACCACCATTTACAAGGCAATGTTCAGGTGTATAATGTAAGGATCCCTGAGCAAGCTCTTGCCTTTTCAGGGGGTCAACTCCTTTGAGAACCCCCGAAGTTCAGCACGTTGCGATCTTTGCCAGGAACACTGGAGCTTCGGCAGGCGCCGTTTTCTGCACGTCGAAACAGCGTCCCGGTGGTTTTTTCCAGCCCCGGAGCCCGCTACCCTCCGGAACCCTGCCTGAAAGCTGCCCCAAACCACCCTAGAGCCTATTGGGGCAGAGACCGCATGGCTTTCAGCTGTTGGGGAACAGCTGCAAAGGTGCTGCCATTTGCACATTTGCCACTCCTTTCGGAACGTGCACTGACATAACTGGTGCCAGGGTCAGCACTGCGGAATCTCAGTGACCTGCGAGAAGATGTGCAGAGCCACATGGCAGGCAATCGCAGAGTACCTGGACAAGTTCAAGAAGGCTCGCCGGATATGCGCTTATTTCAGACACGGAGGGCACAACAACATATTTGCGCTGAGGAATACTCCCGAATGGCTGGCGGCACAAGTCCCCACCTAAATGATGTCCATCCAAAATCGCAAGGTACTCAGGCACCACCTTAGCGCACATTCTTTGTAATAACACTCTTTGGTTCAGGATGCTTTCCGTGCACGTTGATTTGTTGACCGCGCGCGGTGAGTGGACAGCCCCTGCAATGGTTTGTTGTCATTGCTGTTACAGGTCCAGTACACCGCTGATGAGATACTGGTGGCGTGCGGAGGCGGTTACTTGAACCACTGGCTGTTCAGGGGCGGCTCGGAACTGTGTACGACCAATCCACCTGCGATTTGGCATGGTTTGCTTTAGATTCCATTTTCCCAGCGGCTAGAGGTCTAATCTTCACCGGTGATCTGAGCGCAGCCGAGTCGCCTGGAGCTTGCGTTGCGCCAGGGAAGCAGGCCATCTACCAAGCGATGATGGCCCTCTGCCAGGAAGGCGACGAGGTGATCGTGCCGGCGCCGTACTGGACTTCATATCCTGCCGCTTGGGTTTGGACAAGCTATCGATCGTGCCCATGGGTGTCCTTTTTTGATTAGTTTGGTAAGACACAGATGCCACTGGCGAAGATTGGTTTTATTAGGGCCATTTATTTTACAAAATGGACACCTATGATGGAGCCCTTCTGCAGATCGGCAATTGGAGGGATCGTGAGTCACGGAGCGTTGAACGAGTGATCCTCAGATACCTGGGTTTCTATCAGGAATGGTCATCAACCGCATGCCCTTCAGATCCCTCACAAGCATGACATGCCTCTTCAGGGGACCACCATGGCCACTGAGCGAAGTATTTTTGGCTGTGGCACAAGTGGGGACCGCAAAAAAAGGGTGTGTATCAGATTTCTCGGCCTGCAAAGTGGTGGTGTTCCTTTTGGTGTTCCTTTAAAGCTACCAAAAAAAAATACCCGCGAAAAAAGACACGCCCACACCGATCCAGTGAAGATGTTGAGGATATCGTCAAGCTATCGGGGGCCACCCCCGTGATCCTCGAGACTACGGCAGCACAGGGCTACGCGATAGATGCTGCAAAGCTGGCAGGCGCTATCACGCCCAAGACGCGAATGCTCATTGCTGCTTGGTGAACATACGTGGAGTGCTTGACGTGCATTCCGCTTCACATGTCTTTCTTTAGGCGACCCCCCCTTTTTGGCTTCCCTTCAAAACCCAACCAGAAGGGGATTTTCCCTCTTGGGTTCCCTTCAAAGCCCGAGCAAAAGGGGCACAGCCCAAGAGACGAAAAGACGAGCGAGCCACAACCGGTCGCCATGACTGGTGCCGGGTGTCTCAGGTGTGCAACCCCTCCAACCCCACAGGCCCGGGTTTTGGACGCTCGGAGCGAGCGGAAGAAGGGCTGCCAGGTAAGCCGTGGGCCCATTTTCGGCCAACCCCGGTGACCCCTGTGGGGAATCCCCCCGTGAAAGTGGGTAGGATGAGTCATGAAGTCTACCCAGTTTTACAGTGGGCATTTCTCACCCTGGAAAAGCTTAGCCAGCCCCATTGACTAAAAAAGCTAAAGATTTCAGTCAGGGTTTGTCTCATAGGATCCTCCCTTTGGCTTCCCTTTGAAGCACCCAAAAAGGGTGCTCGCGTGATTTGTTTCCTTCACGAGCCACGGGTTGCTTGGGTTGCTCTCTCGCGCAGGCTGTGCCATGTCAACCGAACAGCTGGAAACCATCGCTGAAGTCCTTCGACGACCCGAGAACCAGCACGTGCTGGTGGCTGGGCAGCGTCGATTTGAAGGTTGGTGTAAAAGGAGGCTAAAGGAAGGCCACTTTTTTAGACCTCGAGTCTAGAGTTCTGTGTAACTTGAGACAAACTGTTGGAATGGGTGCAGGCAGGGTTAAAGGCAAAATGTTGTCTAAATCAGACCCGACTCGGTCATCGGGCGTGTTCAAAAACAATGGGGCGGCAACCAACCCTGGTTGGAAGTGATGCATCAGAGCTCAGGTGATGTCCGATGAGATTTACGAGCGAATTTGTGCGAACCTCGGGTGAACTGGAGCACCGCATTTTGATTTCCAGTCGCTTGATTCGGAAGAGGCTATGATGGTTTGGAGCATGCTTCCTTCGCGGCTTTGAAGGACAGGCTTGTACCGGTCTGATGTGTTTCAAGGCCTTGGGACGAATAAGCTTGCCCTCATTTGTTGGCTTGGAGGTTAGGGGGTTCAAGTCTCCAAGCCGCCAATTCACTTGCGGTATCCTGAATTGGTGATTTTGCCGGCGTGTTCTTTGAGACTTGATGCCTTGCAGGACATGTGGGAAAGAACCCTGACGATCAATGGCTTCTCCAAAGCCTTCGCCATGACAGGCTGTGACATTGGCAGGTTTGAAGCTCTCAAAAACCGAATCTGAAAGAGGACGTGGCAAATGGGTTTTGAGGGTCGTCAGGTTCCATGTTTGGAGGGTACCTGTCCTGCCACTATGGGTGTGGGTCAAAATTAAGCCACCAGGACCGCAGGTTTTAGTCTTTAGTTCCATTTACCAGGGTTCCATTTTGGGAACCTATTTTTGACCCACTGCCATATAGCATCACACAGGGCCTTTGGGAGCGTACGAGGGGTACGACTCATTGAGGGACATTTGACGATTTGGCTGGACCAAGACAACACAGTTCAGCTTTGGCAGAGCACAGCATTCATTTTCCCAAGAGGAAGGTTCCAGGGGTGTTGGGCATACGTGGGCTGTTTTTCTTGGGTTTATGCTCGAGCTATGGCTAAGGTTTCAATTGGGCAGAAGCAGCCCCATCGAGGATACCAACCCCAGAACACCCTGTGCATGGTGCAATTTCGGCCCACCGGCGATTCCATGAAAGCTGTGGCTTCCATGGAATTGAACAATCATCTAGTTTGGGTCGCCTTTCTAGATCCTGGAAACCCATTGAATCGAAGGGGTATCATGTAACGACCATTGTTGACCTACAGAGTTTCATCATGTAAGCTGGGCCCATCTGGGCCCTTTCCAGTATTTCATTGGGAGTTGAACCTCCCCTGGTCGGTTTCAAAAGGAAGCCGCCGGGAGACCCAAGAGGTTGAACCCCCAGGCTACCGATTGGGCTACCTGGCGGCGCCCAAGGAGATTGTGAAGGCGGCCTCCAAGTTGCAATCTCAGATCCTCGGACCGAAACCGCTGGCCTTGAGGGTTGCCTGTAGCCAAAAGAGGACCTTTGGGTACCTGGGTCATTGTTTTTTGTTGGACCAACTTTCTCCGGAGCAATTGTTGGATAACATGCAACGCATGTTTCAAAGGGAATTCAAAGGGATTCATGGGGCCCGCGCCAAGTTGAAGGCGGGCTTTAGCTGGAAACAAGTTGTAGCACGGCCGCCCTCTGGCATTTGAGGCTCCCCAAATTTGAGGCTGCCATGCAAGCCCAAATCAATCTTACCATCAAAAGGGCTTCGCGCCATGTCAAGATTGGTTTTGCTTGCGCGGTCGCAAGGGGATTCAGTTTGCTCGGCGAATCGCTCGTTGCCTTACGGAGCATCTTGTCGAACATGGCGTGATGCGGTCCCTCTGGCCGAAGGTGCACTGGGCGCGACTCTGTTGTTTGCGGCTTCAGTTTGGTTCAATTCCACTTGCCAGTGAAACCCATTGGGTTTCACTGCATACGGCAAATGTAGGGACCCCAAAGTTGTTGTTGTTTTCCCAGCTGTCCTTTTTCACCAGTCCCGAATAGGGCTTACCTTAAGGATCACTTCCTGTGCCTCCAGCATCGGGCAGCACGCCGGCATTGCCGCGCTGAAATGCGACATGAGCGCCTTGGAGCCCCCAAGTCTGCGGATGGAGGGATGGAAAAAGCAAATGGGATGGAAAGCAAACGCGGATTGAGGGGGGTGGAAAGCAAATGGGATGGAAATGGAGCAACCAAAAGTCGATGTACTGAGATGTTCAAGGATTGAGGCGGAGAATGCTCACTCCTGTGTGTTGACCTGAGAGGAGTTACGGCAGGTTACAATCAACGCGCGCAGCATAGAGTTTGGGACAGTCCCATTGCCACAAACACTCGGTGCAGAGATCAAGACGTGCAACATGGATTCTTCACCATGGGGTTGGGGTCTCCTTCACTGCCAGGTGTTGATTTCAAGTGCCCACTCCCACCATGAAGGGGCTAGGATTGGGCTTGGATTCTCCGAAGGCTACATTGACGCCAAAGTCGTCGAGCTCAAGGAGAAGCGGGACCTGGCGATGTCCCTCCTTGCGAAGATCCCCGCCGCTCGGCCATGGCCAATCCGCCTTAAGGGGCCCCCGACGTTGATTCCCCTTTCGGTTTGCTTTCCAAGGAAATGCGCAGGGGCATGAGACACAAATCCTGGAGTACCAGGAAAGCAAATGAACATTGTCGCCCGAGATTGTCGTCTTCCGAGGGTTTTGCCTGCTTGTTGCTTTCGGTGAGTCTCTTTGGATGGGGTGATGGTTCCTGCCCTCGCATTGCGTCGGAGGGGGTTTCACCAAACAAAGCGTGGCGTGGCGTTTGTTTCTTCCTCCCGGGGAGCTAGGCAGGATCAACCGCTGTTTCTGCAGTGGAGACTCAATCTGATGGATTTCTGTTAAGGAGCCCGCGCGGGGGAGTGGACGGATCAAGTCTCTCACTTGGCTCATTTGGGTGTGGCTCAAAATTAAACAGGAGGGGCAAACCGCAGGTTTTGGTCCATGTTTCGGCTTACCAGGGCAAGCCATCTGGAATTCCGGTTTTTTGAGCCTCAGCCCTTTGAGCTTTTGCCATCTCAGGATGTGAAGTGCCCCAAGCCGGGAGGCGCCTTTTACTTGCGGGAGCCTCAGGGATTGGGCAAGGAAATCAATCTTCCCCATGTTCATGCCCAAAGTCCGAAACGGAAGGTGGTTCCAGGGAAGGAGTTTTTAGAACTGAAGTTTTTTCCTTTGAGACGGGCTAGCCAGGTTCCCAGACATCTCGGCATACTTGGGCCGTCAGACTCCTGATGGAGAAGCTGTGGAGGCGGGCAAAGCATTCGGATCACCGCAAGCGAAGAGGCAGTCCCCCTTGCCAGAAGGAAGTCAACCATATTCGCTTATGTGGGTTGCAAGTTTTTTAAAAGTTGCATGGTGGTTTTGGGCATGGAATAGCAGGTTTCGATTCCGTCTCAGGTGGTTTCCATGTTCAGTCACTTTAGGGCCCCATTTGATGAGGACGGGGTGCAACTTTGCCTCCACCTGCTGGACAAGCGCTTTTGGCAAATGGCGGGCTGACGGGCTGGCGGGCTGAAACATCGGACCCTCGAATTCCTGAGCCCAAAGCGAGGTTCTTCAAGTAACATGGCACCTGGCAGGTCGCTTGAGGAAATTGATCTTGGTAGCATCCCATGCTATGTCAGCGGGGAGGGTAAACAAAAAGGTTCAAAGACGAGGCAGATGGCAGCCTACTCTAGTGGAGTGATGACACGCGAGACACGCGACATCCGAGGTATCAGGTCGCTCTGGTGCCTGGCATCGCCTTTGGTGATCCGAAGTGCCTACGTCTATCTTACGCCGCGACAAAGGAGAACATCACCGAGCCTCGCAGGGGAGACGTCCATGGCTTTTGTATCTTCTTTCTAAACATCCGATCCATTCGCAAGGCCCTCGCAAGGGGAAAAAACACACACACAAGTGCTGTTGAAGGGTTTCCACCCTACCGACCATGGGGGGTTCTAGCCTTTTTGAGTGGGACTAGAGCGGTTGCCTTCCGCTTGCCCCTGGAAGGGCGCAATTGAGCTCAGGATGCCATCACCAAGCCGCTTGGTGGAGAGTTGGCAGATGCGACTTTCTGATGCCACAAGGACTCATGTGGTTTCCATTTGAGTTTCCTGCACCTGCAAAACAAGGTACGTATGGTACGTATCCTCTGTACCCTCCTTTCAACTTTCGGCCTTTGGCCCATTTTGGCCCTTTGGGCCGAGAGGGGTTTGGCGCCGGACAGAGACTTGGGGCCGTGAGGCTGGGCACTTGCTTGCAATCGCTGAGCTCGGCCAAGAGGGCGCGGACGGCGTAAAGAGGCAGGGCCGAGGGCCCTGGGAGGCCCCAGGGCCATCGGATGGTTCCATCAGCTCTCGTCAAATTCAGCTAGAAGTCCTCCGAGGGCAAATAAGCCAGGGAATCTCGTCACTCGGACGCGATGTGTCGCTCTGGCGCAGGAGCGTTGACCTGACTCGCTATGAAGTCGTTCAACCCAGGCGCTGCAGATGAGAAGTCACACATGGCAATGATTGTGTTGGGGTGGAACCGCCTCAAGCATGGTCGGTGGGCACAAAGGTCGAGCGGTTCAACCCATTAAAACTCCTGCTCACATGAGCAACTGACAAATTCATTGGCAACTGACAAAGCTTTCAGAGGAAGTTGCACCCAAGTTTCCCCTGGGCCAAAGCACATTCGTTGTGTCTATGCGCAGACGGAGCTCTCGGCGACGTGCTCGCGGGCGCTTCGCCTCGCGCTTCGCGTCTTCGCTTTGAAGCGACGCCCGGGGCTCGCCGACGCGGCTTCGGCGGCGGCCAAAAGGGCCGCGGAACTGGGTGCGTTCTCCTTGTCAAAACCCTGGGGGCACCCAAGCGCCAAGATACGCGGATGAACAACCAAGAAAGCTTCGGAATGTCTTAGAGGAATCTTTCCTTTGACTTTGTTGTTCGGCTATGGGATGAGTGATATGGCTATGAAGGTCAATTGGGAAATTTCCACAATGCTTGGCGCACATGTCCATGTAAATCATCTCCAAGGTCTAACCAATTGACCAGTGACTGCCCTGGCAAGCTGAGGGAAGAAGGGCCAGTCAAGGAGAACAAGCTGAACATCGCCGGCTCGAAGGCGTATGTGGCCGTGTTCCAAGAGATTTGGCACGCCTCAAGGGCATCAACATGGCAAACGGCAGAACTGGATTTTGTTGTTCCCCGTGACTTGCATGATGCATTCGGAGGTACGTTTTTCATTCACTGGTTCAGCAGAGCTGTTTGGATTCGGATGCTACACTCGTGAGGTTTGGTTTCTCGTAGTTTTGGTTCGTGTTGTTTGAACGGAGCTGGTTGCGGATTCGACGTGCCCCTTTGGATGGGGATTCGAGCTCTTCCGCTCCTGGACCCTGCACGTAACCAAACCACGGAGTGGGGCTGCGGGTTTCCAAGGCGACGGATGAGGCGATGGAGGCCATCAAGGACTGCAAGGACGACGGTGCCATTGCCAGACCCCCAGACCCCCAGACCGGACCTCCGGACCTCCCCGGGCCATGGACGAAGGAACCAGGGGATTTTTCGAATCCCCGAGGTGGTTTGGATATGTTTGGAGTGGTCCGGTTTTGGATTTGGAATCTTTTGAACCCGGGTTCAGATAGAGAGGGGGTTTCAACCAATCTAAACCACCAAGTGGGAAGCAACCAACAAAAAATCCACCCAGGAAAGGTTCTCAGAGCCTCAGCTTCGATCGAAGGATAAGAACTACTCTGGGGACCCTAATGATTAGCAGTACCTTTTCAACGTGGAGCAGAAGAGCCGCCCAATGATCCCCCAACATTCAACCAAGAATGATCGATCTTCGGGCTTTGCGAAAGCAATTCGAGATTGCCGGAGATCCCGATGAATCGCCAAGCACAGGTCTCGATGTTTAAGACAGCACATCATTCGCCATCTGTGATTTGGGAGTTTCATGGCTTGTCTTAGGTGAGCTCGTGACAATTTGTCGACACAAAATGAGAGGTTCAGAGGATGCCGGGAAGCCATCCGCCCAAAACACGAATGCACCTACCCACGCCAGTATCACCTTCGCCTCGCCTTTTTGCGGCGTTGGGACTGGCTGACTTGCTTTCTGCTTGTGGCGGAACCGTCGCTGCACTGTAAGCTGGTTGGCTTGCCCGGCTTTGAGGCAACTGCCAACTACTCGCGAGCAGAGGCATGGGGGGGCAGATTCCTGATCAATTGCCTGGCTCGAAAAGTCCACACGCCGACAAAAACAACAGGTGGGTTGCCTTTTCAGACCCCCCCCAACAAAGAAAAGGCAACCGAGCAAGGTTCCATTTGCTGTCCACCCCAAGGTCGACCTAAACAAAGGGTGGTTGATGTTTGAAAGGAAACGCTTGGGTTTAAGCCTAGCTCGGGGTCAACAAATGTGTCAAAATTCAGGAGCCGCTGGTTTAGATCCAACAGCTCACCTATCTAAATGGGCGGCTCATTTTTTTCTTAAGGGAAACCAAGGGAAACAACCGCAGCCATCTTGGGAAAGCACCTCGTTTTTTGTTTTTTTTAATCGCGTGTTTCGGCTCGTTGAACGCGGGCGAGTTCTCGTTTTTGGAGCGCGCTTTTGTTCAAGTGGTGAGCCAAAAGTAGCCACGAGCGGCCTGCTTGGCCTGTTATAACTTTAGACCCTCTCCCTTTTCTCCTTCTTCCTCTTGTGTTCCCTCGTCCTCTCTCCTCTCTCTCTCTTCCTCTCCCTCTCTCCCTCTCTCTCTCTCCCTCTCGCTCTCTCCCTCTCTCTCTCCCTCTCTCTTCTCCCCCAATCCTCTCTCGCTCTCTCTCGCTCTCTCTCTCTTTCTCTCTCTCTCTCTCTGTTTCTCTTTCTCTTTCTCCCTCTCTCTCTCTCTCCCTCTCTCTCTCTATTTCTCCCTCCACTCTATGTCTCTATCTTTCTCTACCTCCTCGCTATGCCTTGTGGAAGCATTTTGGCGCTTGTAGGACACCACCTTCTCCGGTGCTAGCAGATGACGCTTTCAGCAATCTTGTGAGAATCTTCGCATTCAGCCATGCATCAAGGACTTCCAGTATAGTAGGATCCATCAGACATCAGGTTCTGTTCTGAGATATATCAGAGACTGCTAAAAGAGTGGGTTCTTCTAAATCAGGGGGCAGCCTCCAAGTTGGCATGTGCTACCATGAGCTGGCCTTGAGCCCATCCCCCCCCATCCCCCCCCCCCCCCGCATCCTCCCATCCTCGCCCATATGCCCCCCCCCCCCCCCCTGGTGTTCGAAAATGAGCCGTGGACGTGTTCGAAAATTATATCGGTGCATGTGTTCGAAAATGAGCCGAAATCGGTGTTCGAAAATGATCCCCCTCCCGCCATCTTGGGTGCTCAAATCAAAATGACAAGTGATCCACATCAAACCAGCGGAATGGCGATTTGATGTGGATCTAGGTCCAAGCAAACGCCAAATCCTGATTTTCCTTGGAGTTTTGCCCTGTTGAGAAACCAGTCGCTTCCAAAGGTACTCACCCTCTTCGGAGAGACACGGGACTCGGTGGCCGCAGCCAGCACGGGCTCCCAGATCAATTTCAATCAACGAAACTGAATACATGTTTGTTTCATATAATCACCAATAGTATTGCGAACATTAGCAGGTAAGATATTTGCTAACGGCACCGCATCGTTGCGTTTTTTTGTTACAAGAGCAGTTATCATAATTTAAAGTGTCATTTATCACATAATATTATAAGTTAATAGTATTTTAAGTATATGTTACGTAGATCAACGACATAGCATTTTACTTTGTAAATGTTTTAATATGTATGCTTCTTCTTGGTGATACATAAGATTGGTACAATAGTCTTCTCCAGCTGGTGTCCTCACACTATCGGGAACCTTAAGATGGGTCTGTTTTTCGTGGCAATCCAAGCCACGTGAGGGGGTGAGGTGATTACAGGGAACCCTCCGGAAGCAAAATAAATGCATCCGTCTTTTTTCAGGAAGCCCTCCAAACGGATTCCGGTTTTCCTTTTGACTTACCTCAGTAACCACAAAACTGAATGCCCTGAAAACAAGACGCCGAAATGGACGGGTTCAAATTGTTTCCTTTTAGCCCCATCGAAAAGGGTGCCCCTTTTTAATTTTTGAGAACTCTACTGATTATCTTTTTTGGGAGTTGTTTTCCTTTCGGGCGAATATTTAGCATTGGGTGTGATTTCAAATCGCTTGCTATGAATTTGAGAGCAACGTGGTATTGATTGTTTTAGCTCCGTATATCCTACTGCTTTCAGACTTTCAGGGTTTGTGCGAAAGGGACATCATCTTTTTTTGGTGAGTTGGAACCATTTCGGGTAGAAGAAACAACAACTCTCAACCCCGCCCCTCCCTCGTTCTGATTTGTTGAGGTGTGTCTTAGAATAGCAACGAGTTTTCGGTGTCCCCATTTTAAGTTCTCCCTTTTTGGTTTCGCCTTTCCTCCCATCCTTTTTGGCTGGTTTGCACGGGAAACGGAAGAGGAACACATGAGTTTCGGGCGGTTCCCCGGTCAGTAGTCCATCGTGTCCTATACCAAACCAAAGTATCATGGGGAGATGCTTATAGTTTTACTCACCAAGACCTGGGTAATTAGATGAGAACGGGTTGCAGGCAAGTAGGGACAGTAACCATAGGCGCGGCAAGAACCGCCCTTTGGATTCTTCATTTTGATGGCCTTCAAAATGTGGCTTCCTTCAAAACCCCATCCCAGGATTCCAACACTTCTCAAGGAAGGCATTCCCCGAATCGCCCCAAGGACGAGCCTGCGATGCTTTCCGCCGAAGAGGCGAAGAACAGCCACTTGCCATGGCTCTGCTCTCGGATCGCGCGGATGGACCAAATCCACTTGGCTGTGGGTCAAAATATGTACCCAACATGGAATGGTCAATGGAAACATGGACGTCGCCTGGTGCACTTGAAGCACCAGGTGTTCTACCCCGATTCCATTTCCCTGCCGTATTTGAAGGTTTCATCCATCCCAACTGGCGCAAAGTGGAGCTAGGAAGTACAGCGAGTCGTTGGGAGGAACCTGGGGCCAAGTCGCATCTCCCGCTGCCTTTTTTGTGCACCCTGAAGTTCCAGCAGTTGATTTGGGGTTCGGCACATGGGGGGGGGTCCACAAAGGGTTCGCTCAGTTTTCCTTGCCGAGTTCCTGAGGGCCAAGGAGTCAGCGTGGAAGTTGCTTGCCTGGGCTCCGAAACCGTCAGGTGGCTTTCAAGGGGAACCAAAGCGAAGCAACCGTAGGGGGTCCCCTACAAGACACACCGTAGGGATTCCTTTTAGTGTTTAGTGGTAATTACTTTCCATTTAAGCCGCTAAAAATTAATTAGTCACTGGCGGGGGAGAAAACGGGCCCAGATTTGAGCGAATTCCAAGAAGGTTGCGGGGGAAGCCCCAGTGGTGCCCAGGCCTTGATGCTGGCTGCAAGGGGATTCATCGAGCTTGGGCAACTTGCCGCCATCGAGCAATGGATGAGCCATATGGCCGTCTCCCCCCCCCCTCCAAAAAAAACCGAGGGATGGTCGGTTTTTCGTGTGGCTTCCCTTTAAGCCCACAAAGAAAAGGGGGGTTCCCTCAAAGCAAGACAAACCCATATGTGAAATACTCAGCTTGTCAAAACTATACAGAGCTCGCAAAGACCGGTCAGAAGATCTGATTGCTGAGCTTGCAGCTGGGATAGGGGTAGGTTCGATTTGCGGTTTCAGCGGCTCTTTGAGGCAAACTATAGGTTTCAAGCTCCCTGGTTGGGGGTTTAGCGGTTTGATGTGCACTCTGGCTTTGCTCCAGTAGGGTCGAAGCCTCGAGGACTGTTGGCATGGCCGAAAAGGCTGCCGAAGAGGCCAGTCCATGCCAGATGCATGTGAACCAAGGGATAGTCCTCGTAGAGGTCCAACACCGACCGAGGCCTAAAAGGTGATGCTTGAAATGACGAAAGGAGCCCTGTAATTAGGGCCCCTGGCATACCAGGTCCCTAGAACGTGAAGTTTGAGCCTGACAGGGCTCGATTGCAACTCAACATTGAGGGAAAGCGCGTGACCTGCAAAGCGGCTTTGCAGCTGCGCTTGCCTCCTTTTCGCTGCTTCAGCCTCCGGCATGCCTGCAATCTTTGCCGTCGGCTGTTTTGGCGTCCTATTTTGCAAGGGAACCCCAGAATGCCAGTTCGAACAGTTTGGTTTCCCCGTGGGCTTCCTCATTTCGCCTCCAAACAGACAAAACGGGGTTGCCCAACTCCAGAAATTAGATGCCATGGTTGGTTTCCGGCTTCTGGTTGATGTCCCTAGTGGTTTGCTCCCATGAATTTCAAGGGTACTCAGTTCAACCCATGAGTTGGTTATAACTCTTTGTTCCCGTGAATTCCAAGGGTACTCATTCAACTGAGGGGATTCGCTGTCACCTTTGGATGTTCTCCAAGTGGGTAGGGTCAAAATTAAACCAGGGGACCGCAGGTTGTAGTTGCCAGGGTTCCAGTTTGGGGTTACCCTATTTTGACCCACAGCCACCCACAGCCAAGTAACAACGAAGCCTTTCAAAAAGCTCCCAGCCGGCGATCTCGGGCGTCAGGCCCTGGCCATTTTTACCAGACTAAGAGATGACGAGGGGCTGGCCCGGCAGCCCAGCGAAGCGCAAAAGGCAGCGCCCAACCGCCAGGTACTCGCCATGTTAGTTGAAACCATGCATGATTTCAACTTGAGATGAACGTAGTCCCTCTAAAAGTCTTTATAGCCATGTTGGAAACATAAGGTCAACGGGTGAAACAGGAGCTTCCCACATGGGTTTCCCCTCCAATGAGTGGAACTGTGTGTCGCACGTGCGGATTCCCCCCTCGAATGTGTTGTTCTCCCTTCCTTCGGTGAAAGGCCAACCAAAAAAAGCCTTCTACAGGACCCGCAGTGTTCCATCGCAGTTCAGTGGCACCAATTCTTTTTCCCCTTTTCGTGCCCCACTAAGGGTCCAAGCCCCAAAAAGGGTTCCCTTCTTTTTTCAGGGTCACTGAGTCGTCTCGGGTTTTCCAGTTTCCCGGGATCCGGTCCAGGCCGCGGCCAACGAGCTGCTGAACGAGCTCGGACCGCGGCAGCCTGAGTAGCTTCTGCTTCTCGGGGTTTTAATTTGGTTGGAACCAAAAGCGAGTTTTAATTTGGGTTCCTGATGGAAACTGCCAAGAGCTTATAGGTTATATTTCAGCCAGAATCTTTCAGCTTTTGTAGTTGAATCCGCCAAAGAACATAGAGATAGAATAGTTGCCAACAAAGGTGGGAAGTGCATGGTGGGAGGGCTTGGAGCCAATTTTGAGAACCCGAATACTTGAGCCGAAATGGGTTCCTTGTAGCTTCCCTCAAGCTGAGGTTCCCTCAAGCAACAAAATGGGGTTGCATGGGACAGGCATAAGAAGAAAAAAGGCTTTTAACCAAGCTTTTGAAGGGTTTTTGACACACATGTAGGAGTCAAAATAGATTGAAATAGAGATTCGTACTGGTTGACGTCGAAAGGTCCCTTTAAAGCAACCTTAAAAAGGGTATGCCAGTTTTCCTGTTTTTTTGCTTTCAAGTGGTCAAAAGCTCAACTTGTCAAAGAGTCCGCAGACTCAAAGTGTGTCCCGTCAAGGGATGCAGGCAACAGAGAAAGGCGTCCAAAAGAAACATCAACAAGTGATTGGCTTCGGGAAACATTGAGGAGAGCTTTGCTTTTTGGGCCGAGGTTTCCCATACTTACTGTAACTCCTTAAGCCATGTGCATGTCGCGGGGCTGCCAAATCGAGCCGACGGAGCACCCCGTAACCCTGTGACCGATTCTTTTGCGCGCCGTGTGTTGTATTCGGGCTCGACCGTGCGACCATGAATCCCGTAGGGCGTTTTGCGACCAGACTTGGACGGCTTTTTGATTTGGGCATCCCCGAAATCGAAGCTTTTCACAAGAGACACTGCGATGCACTGCGATTCCTGGGTTTCGGGGCAGAACTGCAAGTGCTCAGGGCTGGCGGCGCCGGCGTCTCGGGCATTGCGAACTACGAAGTGGAGGCACGACAGCTCCTGATCTACGCCCTTCGAGCCTCGAAACGCATGGGTTTCCCTGCTCTGTGATCCTTCTTGCCACATCTTGCCACTTTCTGTGGGGAATCCCCGGGCCAAGTTGCCTTGCAAGGAATCAAGTTGCTAGGGCGAATGTCCAAGAAGTGATCCGCTTGTCAAGGATGGGGATTCCCGCAATTCGTGACTGAAAGTCGGCTTGAATAAGAATCAGCCACTGAACGGGATCTTATCGCTGAGTGCCTCGGAGAAGGCAGCGAGAATGCCGCAGGCAGTTGCCAACGTGCCAGCTGCTGCGTGGAGAGCTAAGAATAGACAGAAATCGGGGGGGACTCTCTTTGACGTCGCTCTTTACCTAATCATAGTTGGGTTCGAAAGTGCCCTCAACAGAAATGCGTGCAGAAGAAACCCAAACCTCTTTTGGATCGACTCGATTCAGTTTCCGGATGCCTTTCCGGATCACTCAGGTCAGCCGTGGCCAAGCAAGAAGGGCACCCAGCTTAGCTTGTCCTTCCGACCGGGATCGGCGCGAATCCGTGAGTCTCAGGCCAGACCCGGCGCAGGTCAAGGAAATGATCCGCAAGGAGGTGGAGATGATCCTGGGAAGCTGGAAGCACAGAGTTGGATGGCATCAACTTCACTTGAGCCACAATCAGTCCATTCCCTTTTGGTTTCTGCAAGTTGACCTGAACCAGATCCACCGGCAAAAGAAGCGCAACCCGTCTCAGTGAGATGAGGAAAGCACCCGAGCGGATAGCTGCTATCGCGTGGTTTGCCGATCGGATCCTTTTGGGTGTGATGGTCCGATGCGAGTCGGCGGCGCTTCAAGGCAGTGACGAAGTTGCGAACGACACGCCTTTGATGGACACCGGTCTGGACTGCTAAGCCGCAGTTCCGATCGATTCATCAGTGTTGTAGTCATTTCTTTTGGACCCGTTACCTTCCGTCCACTAACATGGAATCCACCAGAGGGCCCATTCAGGTCTTCCAGGACCCCGCAGTCAGATTCCATGTTAAAGTGGACAGGAGGGTAGTGACCCCCTTCCTTTCGGAAAAGTAATTAGAGCATCCGATTGAAAAACCCTCGATTGATTCGCGACGCGGCACTCAGCAGGACAGTCTGTCCGCCGTGCAGTTCCGCAACGATTTGACCCGCGATTTCAACGTCAAGTTGTGCCAAGCTCAGTTGGGGCAGGTCTCAAAAAGTCCAGTCAAAACTCGATTTAGGGACATGAGACACTCCATTTTGCACAACACTCCCGGGACATGCGATATTTCCCACGTCCACGGGGGGTGTGGGGCATTTTGAGCTGCGTCTCACATGCCATGAGTTGCCTATGTGCGCTGCTCAAGAGGTCGCATGACTAAGGCCAGCTTCATTGATGCGCCTGGCTCAGAAGCAAAGGTTCAAAGGGAAACCAAGGGGAATTCATCCTGCTTGGAGTTGTGTGGGTTTGTGTCAAAATCCTGCAACACCCCCTAAAAACGTCGGTCCTATCTTGAGCCACGATTTGATTCCGACGTAAGGTTTGACTATCCGACCATTACAGCGCTCACGGAGAAGATCGTCCAATCTCTTGAGGACTCTTGGAGTTTCGGAAACGAAGCTCCCGAGATCCTGGACGTTACATCAGCTTCCCTCAAAAAAGAATGGTTGGGAGCCGAATCGGTGGTCTTGGAGGGTTTGGGGAGGCCAATTATAGGTTTCACCTGATTTTGGGGAAGATCATTGCCAACAAACAGATCAAGCACAATGGCTTTTGTTTGGCTCAACTTTGGACGGCTCGAGCCATGTGTCGCAGTCGCCAGGATAGCTAGGTCAAGCTTTGCCGAGTCCTCAGATCGAGACGCGTTTGATTTTTTTCTTCAGACTTGGCCTTGCCAGGTCTGCCCCGGGACATGCGCTTGCGATATGCTACTAAAAATGGCGCGAGTGATCCACGTCTTGAGATTCGCGGGAGAAAACTGGTCGTTTCCGAAGGGAGCGATCCGTTTTGGGCAGGTTTGTGGAATGCAGATCCAACGCTTAGCACCTTGCATGCTGTGTGCATTGCTCGAGACTTCAGTAGCAGTGCGCAGTGTGAAAAATTGCTAGCGGCTTTGTGCCTAGGTTTGCACTGTAGGTGGCCCAGGCTTGATAACACAGTGACAGGTTATTAGCCGGAATACTCGTACAGACCGCCATTCTATATCCGGTCAGAACCCTGCGACATACAATATTGCCGGAGATGGCGATGGTGACGGGAACAGTGCAATGGCTGCGGCAGGACCCGCTGATCCAATGACCTGCGCAATGTTTCGGCTTCGCTACGAACAAAAACGCCGCGCAAAGTGCGTCGCGCGCACGTACACGAGTCATGTTGTTCAGGGTGAAGCAAGCGCGCTACATCGGGCTGAGTGCTGTGCCCGGCTCGACGTCTGGGCCAGGAGAACAATCGCAAGTCTGTGGAAGCGCAAGAGCGGTTCATGTGGAGCCGCCCTTTCTTCATGCGCAGGTGAACCATACGCAAAAGCAATCTCTGCCAAGGTCGACACTGCCGTTGCACACAAATCCGAGCAGTACGAGCAGTTCATCAACCATGGCGTTCATGCTTCAGTGGATCGTTTGAGGAGCGAACTTGAGAAGGCGCAAAAGGAATTGTCGGCCAAGCCGAGATGACCCTCGATTTTTCCCCACGCAGACTGTTCAGTCTTCTGGCCCTCTGTCGCATCATGGAGCGATCCTATTTCTGGAAACGTGGGTCAAGGTTTCAAGCGGGTTGAGGAGGAAGCAAAAGGGAACCGCCGCAGCCGCAAGCAGCGACTCGGTCAACTGCTGAATCTTTGCTTGGTCCTGGTACTACTCAGCGCAGATCTTCTTAGCTTTGTCCGCAACCAGCGCAACCCCAAAGCAAAGGAAGCAGATCCCGCAAAACAAGCCAGTGTCCATCCCTTAAAACCAATCGCGCTGGGAGGTGGTGAGCGCAAAGACCGCCTCAAAGGTGCGCCCGTGAGAGCAGCAGTACTTTGATGACGTTAGGACATGTGCCTTTTCTTGTTGAAGAGTGTCTGGATGCCAAGTTCCAGACCGGACTTGCAAGCGGGTTGCAAAGCCTGCCGTCGCATCTTCCCTCTGCGATCTCATACGAAGGGGCTGTGGAACGCAGATCCAACCCTTAGCGCCTTGCATGCTGCACGCATGGCTCAAGACTCCAGTAGCAGCGCGCAGTGTGAAAAGTTGTCAGCAGCTTTGTGCCTGGGCTTACACTGTAGGTGGTCTAGGCTTGACAACACACTTTTGAACAGGTTGTCAGTTCTTTGAGCTGGCGAAGTCCTGGTGAAGGTTGTAGCACGTTGCAACAACTTGGGGTTTCCCTGAACTTCCGGAACAACATTTGTATGAAAAATGGTCAGTGTTCCGTTTTTTGGGCCTAGGTTGAAATCTTTACGCCGCCGATTTCTGAGATGGGGAAGTTAGTCCCCGGTTTGGAGACTTCCAACAGGGGGTTAACCGGACGGCTGTCCAAGCCAGACCCCGTTGCAGGAGACCCATTCCCCCCTTCAAAACAAAACAAACGAAGCCTCTAAAAATCCCAAGGCGCCGCTCCCCAAGGGTGTGGCTCAAATCTTTCAGAGATTGATTGAGGACCGCCGGTTTTATTTTGGGCTACCCAGTTGACTTCGAAACAATGGCTATGACTTTCAATAGTTAAGTCCAAGTGGCTGCACACAAATCCAAACATGTTTTCTGATGTCAAGCAAAGGGTCTGAAAAGACTCATACCAAACTCAGAAAAGACCTTGCTTCCCTCGTTCCATCCCCAAAGCGGGAACGAGGGTCCTATCTGGACTATACCTTTCGAAAGGGTGCAAGATAATAGCGGTCTATGTCCATGATAATTTTTGGTATGTACCATGAGGGTATTGGTGACTAATCCAAAGTTGCTTGAGTGTGGGACCCCTTTTCTATTGAACCCATGCAACGGACGCGAATTCTCCACGCCCTTGCGGGAGCAAGCCGATTGGGTTCATCAAGCCTGCATTCCCCATGACCTGACTGTCTTTTTCGTTACAGGGATCCTATTTTGGAGCACATGCAGTACACACACCATCAAGGCTGAACTCAGGATATGTCAGGCAAAAGCGGCATGGACCAGCATGGACCAGACGCAGCTTCCGGAATGCTCAAGCGCAGCCACTTGCGGTTGCAGCGTCATGTCACTTCGCAATGGCAATGCCACAGAAGGCCAGGGAATCTTTGGAGGGCCCTTGTGATGTTTTCATGCAGTCATGTTTGCATTGACTTCCACGTGGTCATTTTGCAGGCGATTGGCCACCTGGGGGAAGTTGCCATGGCTTGTTTGGGCCATGAAGTCCACAGACTCGTCAAAAGCATCAATGAGTACCGCTGTAGGAGCGTCTCGATTTTGAGTATTTGTTCACTGTGTGTGTGTCTCGGATGGCGAATAAGACGGTGTCCTTCTGGTTTTCTTTCAACCTTCAAAAAGGGGCATACACCCTCGAAGGCACCCATGTAGCAACTCGAACCCGCCTATTGTTCGATGTTTTCTTTGGGCAAGAACGGCGTTGTGAGGCCCTCAGGACTTGAGTTTTTCACCCATCCGATGCTGCCTGTCCGGGGCGACGGCCAGTCCCGAGATTTGCCCGGAAAAGAACGCCGACTGCTTCTTTATGCGAAGTGAGTGGGTGCACCTTGTTGAGTTGCTTTGACACTTCGCCTGGCATGACTTGGAAGCTCAAACCTCCCCCGGCCTTCCATCCACTTCTGGGCGCTAACGTCGGTGGTCGAGATGGTGGATTATGTTGACGGCTCAAGTTTGGAGTTTAAAGACAAGAACGACCGAGACGTTGCAGGAGCTCATGATGAAAAGGTCATCGAAGCCTTTCAGAAGTTCGATGCTGACGGATCTGGAAACATTTCCAAAGAGGAGTTGGCAGCGGTGTGGTGCAGCAGGGGTGACTAGGCCATGATGATGCCTCAGGAGGCTGCGCCACTTTCTGTACGGTCGCTTTGTCGTTCCGTTTGGCCAGGTCTTGAAGGCGCTGAACCCGGATGACTGGGACAATGCATCAGTTGATGAAGTGGTGGCGCAGGCGGATAAGAACGGCGATGGGGAGCTGTCCATCAAGGAGTTCCTGATGCTCGGCTTGTGATAGGTGAGCAAGTTGGTGTAGTTGCATTGAAAAAAGAGGCTCCTTTGGGTTCTCCTTTCTCGCCAACTATGTTTACATTCAGCGGCAAGTGAGGAATTGGGCCTTCGCCGAGAGTGACATTATCACCAGCAGCAAGGGCAACGTGACACTTCGTGTGGAAGGTTGTCCAAGAGAGAAGTTTAATGGTGATTATGTCCAGGACATGCGCAAAGAGCCAGGTTTGAGAACCAGAATGGTCATGCTACTTCCACCGTGTGGACTCTGTTGGCAGCTTACAAGAATAGCTGCTCGAGAACGAAATGGACACATTTACTGCGACGGTTTTTCCTCACCTATGCAATCCAGTCCCACTGACAAACGAAACGCATTTTGCTGAAGCATTTCACACCTGGCAGGGTCGCAGCTTTGACATATCTCGTTGCCTCCTGACAGAAGGTTTGAAGACAGATTTCTCAGCCTTGTTTCCACATATTCCGCAATATGGACGCTGCTGTTTTGCACGTGTCTGAAAGTGCCAGGACTTGCAAGTGCGAGGGCTCAAGGGTTTTCATGGCGGGACGTCGTAAGGTGCCATCCTCTGAGGCGCTAGCTTCCCTACAGTCTCTGGACCCATGGAACACCAAAGCGGTCAACGTGAGCCGTCTGAGCCGTATTGCATGGCGCTTGTGCTAGCCTCCGCAGTGGGTATTGTTGGAAATCCGAGCAATTCCATTTCATGCTCGCAATCAACTTCTTTTCCGAGACCTCGACTTGAATTTGGCAGCTCCGGGCGAGGTTCTGATCTACTTGCTCGCAGCACACGTGGCTTGTCGGGAAACCAAGCTGGAGGGATGTGCTGATAGCATCAAGACCAACACGTGCTACAGACATGGCCCATCCATTTCTTCTTTGACGACACAGCTTTGCCTCCACTACGCCTTGAACATCGATTCCGAGCGTGGCGAACTCCCCAGCAACATTACGGAATGGCGGTTCTGGTGCTCAATGTGGCAACAAGGAGACACGGTCATGGCCATGTTTTGACATGTTCGGTGGCTCTATAAGCTAATAAGAGTTTCTAACGCCGCCGCCGTGTTTCATTCTTTCTTTTTGGGGTCCCATCAACAAGAGCCGTTTCGCCAATCGCAGAGTGGCTTGGTGGTTTCCTGGTTACTTGCTCTTGGAGATCTGCTGCTATCGCACAAAACGACGAGCGAACACACAGTCAAGCAGGCGTACTTATCATCTTGTTGCATCGTAAGGGGGGGGCCCGCTCCAAGGTTTTTCTGACCGGTTTCCAGAAAGAATTGTCCTGGAAGTATAGCCTGGGTGAGTCGGGCGTAAGAGTTGTTTGCATCGTCCCTGCACTTGTCGAGTTCTCCTCGAAAAACTTGGTTGATGCATAGGAGCTCCTGACAACTTGGAAAGAGTTCACGAGCCCGGCCAGTTGATTACAGTGCTGCTGGAGCTGAGTGAACGCAAGGCCCAGAAGTTGTTGCCAGCGGCGTGCGTTGGAATGACGGCCGCCGGTCGTTCACCACACATGTGAACACCAATCTGCGAACCATAAGCACCAACCCCAAGATGAACCCGGCCAAGCTGGTGGTGTCCACTGTGCAGCCAGCATTGGTAGTTGGGGCAAAGTTCTCACACGTTTCCGAGATGGAGCAGGGCTGGAGCTGACGTTCAAAGCCAAGCTTGTTCCAGAATGGAGCGGTGTTGGGCGCATGGAGCAAAGCCATGAGTTGGCCATCTTGGGAGCACACGGCGCGCTGGACACGAAAGAGATGAAGGCCCTGGATGACCAAGCTACTGCCGGCTCAAACACTGAGGATTTTCTGGAGCTGTGCCGGGTGACAGAGGTGCGTGCCAAGCGGGCACCTTTGCTGACGCTTGCCAATTTGGCGCGGCGTGTGTCTGCGTTGCTAGGCGAGGATGTCCCGGCCGTAACGCTACAAGGCGCAGTCTGCAAGTTTATGCAAGTGCTCTCTTGCTTTGCTTGTGGCAAGACCTTTAGCCGAGCTCGAGAAGAAGATAGCAACCAGAAGTGGCATGCGTGCAGTCTCGGCCGCAGGCTGCTGAGACTGATGCGCAAATTTCAGCAGAGTAGCGAGACGGCCACCAAATGCTGCGGTGATGGAAAAGCGCATAACTGAGTGTCCGTACTACGAAAGGTCGAAGCTTCCTTTGATTATTGCCAGGTGTTAGGTTGATTCACCCCGAATCCCCGGGGCCTTCACTCTCGAACATGGCATTGACATGGAACTTTCTCTGCGAAGGATGGATCCGATGTGTCCTCTTTCAAAAAGGGGACTTCCTGCAGGGACACACATGGACTGATTGTAAATATGTGTTGCTCACATAAGCTACTCAAGTTCGCACCTTACATAAAGGGGACAAGCCTTGTTTTTTGGGGGGTTATACAGACTTGTCATGCATTTTTGCTGTTTGGGGTCGAGGCTGGTGTAATTTTAGATTTCTTCAGAATCTGCATTTTGCAGATTTTCAGATTCAGATTTTTCAGACTTTTCAGATTCTGACAAAATCTGAAAATCTGAATCTGAATATTTAGGTAAATAAAGTAATGAATATTCAGATTCTGAAAAATCTGAAAGATCTGAATCTGATATCAAATCTGAGCACTTGCATCCGCAAGGCGACTCACGCATCATACTCGGCTGCGGCTTGTGAGGGTGCCGCGCGGGCTCACGCCCGCGGCGGCATGCGCAGGGGCGAGAAAAACCGAAAGGTAAATGATTCGGCTTCCCTTTTGCATGCTGCATGACTGTGCTCAAAAAAAGCTAAGGCTTGGGGTTTGCAACGGGAGTTATAACGTGTCAAATCTCCCATAATCCTCAGATAGATTCTGGTAAGCCTTAGAAACGACTTAAAAACCTTACAAAGGTTTGACCAACTTATCTCGTTTGCCAAGGAGTTTGGCGGCCTTATAACCCAACTTATCCGAGATACTAAGGGTTTATAACCTGGTTAACAATAGCCAGCCGTCTAAGTACAACCATTCCAGATGACAACTGATTTGAAATTCTGCCATGGATGAAGGCGTTTTGGTTGGCTATCATGCGCAGCCTGGCTTTACGTATACTCACGAGCTCTTGATATTGCCACTCAAGAACGATTCGCGACAACGATATTACTTCTTTGAGGGTGAAGCAACACGAGTTCAGTTTGTTGGACGAGACTTTTTTGTTTCCTGCGACACAGGCTATTGCCAACAACCTTCCCAACCCCCTAGCGGAACTGGAGTTTAAGCCCGAAGCAGTGGTGCAACTCAGTCAAGAAGCGCCCGAAGAAATCGTCATGGCAAATGCACCTGCGCCCGCTGAGGGCCTCGCTGAACAGCTCTTCTTCTACAGCGACGAGCAACATGATCGTGAATAAGTCGTTGGGTGAAAAAATGATCAAGCCCTCCAAGAGCTATGATCAGCGTGCAAGGAAACTTGGCTGCCACAGGATGCAATGCCAAGACACTCTCTGCCAGATGTCTCGTCACAGGTACTGCGTCCTTCCTGAGTCTCCTCAAACGCCCGACCAACGGCTTCTTGGCGTGCTGGAGATCACCTTGCGGACCGTTGGCGCAAGTGCGTCAGGACGCACAAGAACCCCATCGAGCTTGAGTGGTTGGTTTCCTACAATGGCAGGATGCTGAGCTTGAAGCAGTTCATCAGCCAGGTCAATGTCCTCCACTGCACGCGAAACATCCTCACCTTTGGTCAGAAGTTCCCCAAGCTCCGGGCAACCGGAGCCAGAGAGATTTGCGAGGACGCGCAACCCAATGCGGCGGACGTGAGATGCAGCAAAGCGCCGACGACAGCTCCAGACGCCACGCGCGCGACAACCCTAAAGGCCAAGCAGCCTCTGCCCTCCTCCTCCTCCAGCCGGCTCGTAACCATGCAGCTGTGTCAGCAGGGATGGGGTTGGAGCAACTGGAGCTGGGGAGTCATTGAGGGGGAGGTGGTGACCGCAAAGCCCTTGTCAAAGGCGCACCCGTGGGGGCAGCAGTAGTTTGATGACGTTAGGATATGTTGTTTTTCTGTAGTTTTTTTTGAAGAGTGTCTGAATGCAAGTTCCAGAGCGGACCTTCAAGCGAGTCGCAAAACCTGCCGTCGCATCTTCACTCTGCGATCTCACGAGGGGGCTGTGGAGCGCAGATCCTGTAATTAGCAGCGCGCAGCGTCCCAAAGTTAGCGGCTTTCTGCCTAGGTTTACACTGTAGACCTAAGCTTGATAGCACACTTTTGGGCAGGTTCTTGTGTCAGTTTTTTGTTCATCAGTTTTGACGGTAATAGCGTTTTGCAGCAACTTGCGGTTTCCCTACAACATTCGTGATGAACAATTGTCAGTGGTACGTTTTTTTAGGATGTCCGAGATGGGGAAGTTAGTCCCAGATTTGGAGACACTTCCAATAGGGGGGAAATCGGACAGCTGTCCAAGCCAAACCCCATCGCAGAAGACCCATTCCTTACCCCTTTCACAAGAAACAAACGAAACCCATAAAAATCCCAAGGCGCCGCCTCTCCAATGTTTGGGCGATTGACTTGAAGTCGACTTTCTTGGCGTGGCTCAAGGCATTTCCGCCGGTTTCAGAGCCACCCAGCTAGTTGACTTCAACGAAATGGCTACAACTTTCAATAGCTAGGGCCAGCATGGACCAGACGCATGACCAGCTTCCGGAATGCTCAAGCGCAGTAGCCGCTTGCGGTTGCAACGTCATTTCATTTCGCAAGTCCACGGACTCATCAAAAGCATCAATGAGTAGGCCAGCGCCAGATTGGCCAGCCCAATTCGTTCCAGTGCTGCTGCAGCAACGTCTCGATCCTGAGTATTTGTCCACCGTGTGTGTCTCGGATGGCGATGGAATATGCTTCACAAACAAGACGGTGTCCTTTTAAACCCTTAAAAATGGGCATATACCCTCGAACAAGACACCCATTTAGCAAGAATCCGCTCGAGTTCGGGAAATTGCCTGATATGTTTTCTTTGGGGCAGAGAGAGAACGGCGCTTGGAGGCCCTCTTGTTTTCTTGTTTAGCAAACATGCTCTTGAGATTTGGCCCTCAGGACTTGAGTTTCCACACGCCAATGCTGCGTGTCCGGTTTCTCGGACCGGTCTGGTGAAGGCCAGTCCCTGAGAGATTTGCCCGGATGAAAATAAGCAAGAGCCAAGAGTGTGACTGCTTCTTTATGCGCAGTGAGTGGATGCACCTTGTTGCTAGAGTTGCTTTGACACTTCGCCTGGCATGACTTGAAAGCTCAAACCCAAAAAATTGGAGTTTAAAGACAAGAACGACCGAGAAGTTGCAGGAGTTCATGATGAAAAAGTCATCGAAGCCTTTCAGAAGTTCGATTCTGATGGATCTGGAAACATTTCCAAAGAGGAGTTGGCTGAGGTGTGGTGTAGCAGGGGTGACTAGGCCATGATGATCACTGCCTCAAAGCCTCATCCTATGATGCTGCAATCACGGGCTGTCTTTTGAAACACTTGTGACTACACATTCCTGTATGGCAACCTTTGAGGGAGTGGCACTGATCACTTTGTCCTTCCGTGTCTTTGGCCAGGTCTTGAAGGCGCTGAACCCGGATGACTGGGACAATGCGTCAGTTGATGAAGTGATGGCGCAGGCGGATAAAAACGGCGATGGAGAGCTGTCCATCAAGGAGTTCCTGATGCTCGGCTTGTGATGGGTGAGCAAGTTGGTGTAGGCGCAAACGCAATCGTTGCATTGATACAGGAGGCTTCTTCTGTCTCGCCAACTATGTTTACATTCAGCGGCAAGTGAGGAATTGGGCCTTCGCCGAGAGTGATATTATCACCAGCAGCAAAGGCAACATGACACTTCGTGTGGAAGGTTGTCCAAGAGAGGAGTTTAATGGTGATTATGTGCAGGACATGCGCGAAGAGCGAACCAGAGTCGTCATGCTACCACCGTGTGGATTCTGTTGACAGCTTGCAAGAATAGATGCCTAGCCACTCAATTGCAGGACGGGAAGTTCTACAACCACCGGCCCACCTTCTACTGTCGAGAGAACGACTATTGCATGTTCTACCTTGACGATCTAAAAGCTTGGTGCATCTTCTGGCGAGTTTCTCCAAAATATTCCAGTTGTCGTTTGAAGACCTCACGGGGGCCGCATATGGCCTCGGAGGGTGAAGCCTGGCACGTCTGGACCAAGGAGAAGAAAGCCTTCGTGAAGTCGCCGGCGATGGTTTGCAGATTGTTGACGGCTGAAGAACTCGTGGCCTTGGCGCCCGACACCGTCATCATAAATTTTGAACAAATAGGCCATTGCTGGTTTGAGGCGCCTGGGGCTGTTGGCTCCAAAAGGAACACTGCCGCTGGCCACAGTGAGTGCTTCAAGAAGACAAAGGAGATGAAGAACGACCGTCCTGTCTACCAAGCTTGGAATAACCTGTGCAACGAGCTTCCTAGCTGGACAGTTGTTTGCTTGCTTTCTCAGGCTCATACGTCCAATAATCTTTTTCAGCCTTTGCAACCCAGGTTCAATGCCCGATACTTGTTCTATCATGGCAAGAAGAAGTATTGGATGGTGGGAGTCGGAAGTACCGAGACGGACAGGAAGTGGCCCACTTGCAGAAAAGCCTAAAGCCAGTCCATTTTGAGACATGAGTCAGTTCAGTGGTCATCCGGGGTTAGGTTTTTATGCACCGCGCCCACGGATTGCTCCGCCTTTGGTGGCGCCGTGGCTGGACTCCGAGACTTTTAGGTATCGCCCCACGGTGCCACATGAGCTGGATGCCGACGGCTACCCACCTGCTAAGGGCGGCAGGAAGACCAAATTCAAGAAGGCGGATTTCTTAAGTTGAACAAACAAGTTTCACCCACCGAACTGTTTTTTCAGGTTGTGCTTTTGTTTTGGATTGGGATGTTTTATTTGTTGGGTGGTTGGGATGCTCAAGCAGTTTATCTCAAGGGGCGCCATGGCTGGTGGACCTTTGGCTTCCCCTACACGCGAAGCATCCGCTCTGACTCGCGTCAGGTGCAAGGTCTTCCAGAGGGTTGGAAAGATCCGGACTTTCCAGCCAATAAGGAGAGTCTGGGGCCCGGGCTCGCGAGGCAAAGAGCTCCTCAGACTCAAAGAATGTGAGATCGTTCGATTTGAATAAGATGTACCAGGTATGCTCCAGCGAAGTGACGGAAGTTTCTAGAAGAACAATTTGCTGATAGGAAAAGAAGCTTTGTCGTGAAATCCAGAAGGGCTGACTTGAACTCTGCAACTTGCGCGAGGCGACTTGCCCAGAGCAGCTTGCGCAGAGCAACTGGCACAGGGAGTGCGCTTCTAGCGATACGTTCAGACTGAAAAAGTTGCGACTTTCAAGCCCGAGATCAAAAGCTGCGAGTTCCAAGAAGGAGCTGCGGGCGCACTTAGCGTGCTGCTTTCGTACTTAAAAGTTGGGACCTTCAAGCTGGAGCTGCCGGGGCCGGCCTTGGCAGGCGAAGCGCTGATGCGCCGCTCCGCTGTTTTGACCGCCTGTGAGGTAGTGCCGGTTTACGATGCGTAGCATGTCTCAAGTTTTCGTAAAACTGCAACTTTGGAGCTGACAAAGGTGGATGGTCGTCATTCTGTGGGCAGTGACACATATTAAACAAGCCTTATCACCATGGCGGCCTTGGCAGTGTGCATGCTGGTCTTTGGATGCGAAAACTGGGAAACTTTGACATCTTATGGAGAAACGCTGGATCTCATGCCTTCAATTTCTTACTTTGAAGATGTGATGTGAATTTTGCATATGCCTGTATAGTGTTTCTCAGAGGAGTACTCTCGCTTTGATGCGCGAATTAAGCACTGGAAAACGACCAACAAGCCGACCGCCATGTAGAGTGTCGTTTCAGTGAAGCTAACTATATTGCTTAGCGATTTCGACCTCTGCATGGATGGTTCGGAACGAACTATACCGTGCGGGGGGTGTTAATAGCCTGCTAACGGCACGCCAATAATGCAAGAGAATCATGCGGCTATGTTTTGGCTTAAGTGACGCATTCCCCCGTAGCTAGGAATCAGCGTCCCCTGTAGCGGATAAAGGACAGCGAAGTTGTTCAGGAGTGTGCGTGTGATAACAAAACAATCGTGCTTACCGAGTGGCTGTGGCTTCCTGGAAGGGGCATTGCAATCATTTTGGGGGGACGGTGCAGGTGGCACCGTTGGGATACAAACAAAAACCCCTCAATTCTCATTTCCGAAGTAGGTTGCCTTTGATGACAAAGCTGAGATGCGTGTTTGGTTTTTATATGCAGTACTCTGCAGCTTTATTGCGAACCTGTTTTTTCCCATTTGTTTGCTGTGTAGTTAGAATTTCTTGGTGTTGATTTAGGTATTGGATTTGAGAGCATTGCATTGCCTTTTTGCAATATTAGGCCTATTGGGAGCGCCTGGCTGCTTACACTTCGACTCCGGTCCTTTTTGACGACGCTGAACCTGGAGATGTTCTTCAAGGAATGTTAGGTGACCAGATGAAGCCGCTGAAGACATTCTACTTTGTAGCAGTTGTGAGGGAGTTGTTTTGTGGTTTTAAGTTACATGTTGTCTGCACGTGTCATCATGTGCAGTCGCTCTTGTGGATGGTGTTGAAAAAACGATTTCAGGTGATTGCTGGTTGCTCTCTGCCATTGCTGCAGTGGCGGAGTTCCCCAATTTCTTCAAAGACCATCTCTTCGTGACCCAGGACGTTGAACGAGGGTCCATCAATTTGGGCGTGTTTTTTTGAGGGTACGCCTTTTCAAAGGGGAAGATGAAAGGGGAGCCATTCTTTTTAGGGGCCCTCTAAGAAAAAACTACACCCTTTGGCCAGTTGACTCAGATGCACTCCAATGTGCAAAGTGCGCAATGTTCTCCGTTTCGCTCATTCGGTGGTCGTTCCACAGGAGATTCCAGAGGATGGGAAGTACGAGATCAAGCTGTTTGATTGCAAGTTGCAGGCAGGTGCGGTTTCCCGCCACAATCCGGGATTAGGACAAGGAGAGAAACATGTTCAGCAAAATCAGTTGATGATTTTCCACATTATAATTGCTCGATCGTTTGAATGATCACTCTTGCTTAGAACGTCAATATCGCAAGATCACTGAGCTGTTCGATTCTCACTCTTTTGGAGGCTTGTTGCCTCTGTGCGCTAAAGCAATGAGACTTGTGAGGAGTGGAAGGTGTGGGCGATTGACGACTACATTCCAACCAAGCGATGGGGTGAGAAAATTTATACCTTGTGCGCAGCTGTCGCAGACCACAAAATTTTGGTGCCGCTGGTGGAAAAGGCCATCGCCAAAATGTGCCTGAGCCCAAAGAATGCGAGTCCGGGGAACTGAAAAAAGCCCACCCAGTTGATTCTTTTTGGGGCAATAGTCGAAGAGTGAACTCATCCTGAAATTCGAGGTGCGGATCCTACACAAAGTTGGAAGCCGGCAGGGCCACGACTGCGTGGGCGCATCTCACAGGCTGCTGTGACATTGTGAAGATTTGGGGCAGCTTCACAAATCCGCTGGAATGGGTGGCTTGGTTGAACTAAGAGCCAAATCCAGGCGTTTCAAGGACCCCCCCCAAATGTCAGTGAAAGTTTTGCTTTTCAAACTTGAACCCAATCTCAACATCTCTCAAGGGTAATTTCGTAGCAGTTGTCGGACTGTTGAGCTTAAATCCATGGATCAATTCGGTGAAACATGCAACTACTATGGGTCATGTCATGGCGGCCCTCTATCTATTCCAAGGGCAACCACCTGGCGTGTTCGAGGTCGTCACATCGGAGGAAGGCCTTTGGGTCCGTGAGGAGAACCAGCGCGCGAGCAAACGAATCGGGAAGCTGGAGAAAGGCCCTTCGTCCGAGCCGAACGAATCGAGACACATGGCCTCCACAAAAAAACAAAAGCTTATAGCAAAGATGGAGGTCCTGTTTTTTGTTGAAACTCCTACTTCAGGTCTTCTTTACGCATCATTTCGGACGGCCTGTGTCTGTGTGTGTGTGTTGTCACGGTCAATCGATTGGCCGCATGTTGAGCAAGAAGTGGACCCAAGCCCGTCCAGAGCTTCGAATTCCGAGCTGGATGTCGCTCAGGTGCTCGCTTTCAAGAAGTGGAGCGGGCCAGATCTTGCATCAGGTTCAAGAAGCTCGAGGGCAGTGGCCCTGAGGAGGGCTTCGTTTGGTACTACAAAGGCTCGATCTTCCGAATCGAGCAACTCGATTTGCCGAATCGAGCCAGTTTGGCCGGACGTTCAGAACCCAGAACTCTCGCACGTCTTTGGGCTGAACACAGAGCTTGATAAGATTGGATGAAACGCAGCTGAGAACCAACAACTGGTGAGCTGATCATTGCAGCATACCTGACAGATATTTAGAGTGTCCGGCTCAGTCCGCCAACATTGTCCTCTCCCTTTTCTCCTTCTTCCTCTTTCTCTTGTCTTCTCCCATGTGGTCTGTCGTGCTCTCCCTCAAGCCTCTCTCTCCTCAATCTCCCTCTCTCTCTCTCTCTCTCTCCCCTCTCTCTCTCTCTCTCTCTCTCTCTCTCTCTCTCTCTCTCTCTCTCTCTCTCTCTCTCTCTCTCTCTCTCTCTCTCTCTCTCTCTCTGTTTCTCTGTCTCCTTCCTGTCCACGCCCGTCTATAGAACTAGACCACGGTTGGCCCGAAAGCATCACAGCCCCGTGATCATTCCCGCGATCGCCCACGCAGAAACCATAACACTCATGATGACTCTGTACTGACTCTCAAGAGGTCTCTGCGCAATGACTCTCACGACGACTCTGCGCAATGACTCTCATGATGACTCTGTGCAATGACTCTCTTGGTGACGCTGTGCAAGACTCTCATGATAACTCTGTGCAATGAAGCTTTGCGCAGGTTGCTCTGCGCAGACTCTCATGATGACGCTGCGCAATGAGTCTCATGATGATTCTGTGCAATGACGCTTTGCGCAGCTGCTCCGTGCAAGTTGCCCTACGCAAGTGCTGCCAGACTGCCGGAATGTACTCACGCGTGCTGCCTTTGTACTTAAAAGTTGCGATTTTGCAGCCTGAGATGTGGAGGTGCGCTCCGCGTACTGCGTTTGTACTTAACAGTTGCGATTTTGCAGCCGGAGCTGCGGGTGCGTATGTACTTACAAGTTGCGATGTTTGAGCCGGAGCTGCGGGAGTGCACTCCCACTACGGTTGTATTTAAGCCGGAGCTGCGGGAGTGTCCTCCGCGTACTACGTTTGCACTTAAAAGTTGCGGTTTCTGTCTAGGAAAGCCGTCGCGGACCAGGCGGTGATCAAACCCGCGACCGCGCGACTCCGAGAGCAGCCGAGCAAACCACGCGACAACTTCCCACGTTGTTGATAACAAGGATCGGCAAATCCAAACCTTGAGGGATCAGATACGACACTTGTCCGAAAGCGAAGAATGGTTCCGATTTGCTGAGAAGCTGGCCGATCAAAGAGCTGAGGAAATCAAGCTGCATCTGTGCAAGATGGCTCTGCGCAGCTTGGCTCTGTGAAAATTGGGTTTACGCAAGCTACTTTTCGCGAGTGAATTTTCAAGCCGGAGCTGCCGCGGACCAGGGGGGAATCGAACCCGCGACTGCGGAATTGCGCACGGCGCCGCAGCGAGAGCGCTGCGACACGCACGATCCCCGCATGCAGAGGGTCGCGCGGGAGTATCAAAAAACGCAAAAAAAAACCTCGAGTTTTGCACCTCGATGCTGGTGACTCTGTGCAAGCTACTCTGCACAAGTTGACCAAGAGCTCCGCACGGAAGAACCCTTCGCAATGCTTTCGGGAAAAATGCAAAATTGTTGAGAAAGATTCCATACAATCCCCCTCGGTGTTTTGAACAAAATGTTAGATTTGTTTAATTTCATCCTTGAACCGAAGCCCTAACTTGGAAATTCCCTACCCCACACCCCCCCTTATAACAATTTCCCCCCCCCTATCAGACGTTGGGCGGGGGGCTTGGGTGTCCGACACGCCTCCGCAATGTTGGCGGATATAGCTTTACGATCTTAGGGTAGGTGTAGAATCCCTGCTTCTGCTGGCGAATCACCCTGCGTCTCTGTTGGCGAATCATCGGATAGCAACAGTGATTGCTGACCAGGTGGAAAGAAGACTGCAGAGAGAGTCACGCCAATGACAATCACAAAATTTGAAAGAAGCTCGGCTGCGGTGACTGCAAGGTTTTGTGGGGGAAATTTGGAATTGACAACATGATCGAACTGCGCACAAACCAGGAAAGATCGTGGACAACCCGCGTTTTGCTGACGATGACGCTGACACTGCGATCTATGAGACACTGGACACGAAAGACATTGATGGCAAGGAGTGAGACTTGACTGGACCGAGGATGATCTTTTCAATGCGCAGGTTGTATGAAATGGGGATGGTCTTTGAAGGTGCTCAGCAATTGAGCTAGACGATGCAAACATGCTTGTCTTACGGAGTCATGTCTCATTTTGCCTCCGTTTTTGCCCACGCATCTGCAGTTTGGCAATTGCTCCTGGAATACGACCAGTCCAATTTCCTCATGTGTGCGGCGATGAACATCATTTGTGATGAGCGCCTTTCTGGCATCATGCCGGAACACGCGCGGCTTGGCCGAAAACGAAAGCGGGGACAAGGAGCTGATGTGTGTGGACGTGTCTTGTTTTGAGGTTCGGTGCCCTGTTTGGGGTCGGTTTGAAGTTGCAAAACAAAAGAGACCCCACGCTTTCGAGGCCATGAGACAAGCCCGCAGAACTGTGGCGCACCAGTTGAATCAATGGTTGTTCTTGTGGCTTCCCATTAAACACACCTAGAAAGGCCGGAGTTAACCTGGCCACAAAGGCAAGCCGTGGGCGCGTACACTTTTTGGGCGTTTGTTTTCCCTTTGACGCAAACCAGTACAGGGCGGGAGGTTCCCAAAGACGCCAGGGTTCTTGTGTCAGGAAGCCGTAATCTTCACTGGTTCTGGCACTTTCAAGCCTGCCAGAGTCAAGCTCAACATAGTTCATGTTATTGGACAAATGTTCAAGCTGTCCGCTCCTTGGCCGCTATTTTCTTTCATTTCTGATGCGGAAACTCATGCTGAGGTAAAATTGCCCATGACATGTCGCACAATTTCTCCCTGGGACCCCCCCCCGGCGGGTCTTTTGTTTTTGGTTCCGATTCCGACTTGTTTTTTCCCGAATGCGGCGAAGGGTTCCCGAGGTCTGGGGGTATGGTTGTGTTCGCTGGTCGGCTCGCGCGTGGCCGAAAGCGTCCGTAAAGTGTCCGAAGGTCGCAGGCCTAGGCTTTCGCCTGGCATAGCGCGCCGAAGGCAGCAATTTTGAAGGCATGGCTTCACTTCTATGCCTTGCTGCTTTCTTAGCTTCGCTTGGCATGTTTCACAAGCTTTTGCTTAGACAGGGGGTGGATCTGCTTCATCACCTCTTGTTCTATGGTACCTACCAAACAATGTGCTTCAGCTTCCGCCAGTGACAAACAAACTATATTATGAAGAATGCAAGATTCTGTGATATGTATTTGCCTACGCTTTTGGTGAATATATGCTTTGCAAATGGAATGAGAAGTAGAGAGACATTTTGCATATGGCTGCTGCTTAGCAATTTTGAACGCAAAGCGAACCCTCGATTAAAAGCGTCGTTCAGAAGTGTCGATCAGAAGGGTCGTTCAGAAGTGTCGATTAGCGATTCTGAGCAACACTTCTGAGCAACACTGCTGACCGACACCTCTGAACGATTCTGATCAACATCTCAATGAACGCTACGGAACGACACTTCTGATTGAAACTTGCGATCGACACTTCTGATCGACACTTCTGAACAACACTTCAGATTGACACTCCGGATTGACACTTCTGATCCTGTCTCTCTCTCTCTCTCTCTCTTCACTCTCTTCACGCTCTCTCTCTCGCTCTCTTTCTCTCTCCCTCTCTCTCTCTCCTCGCTCTCTTTCTTTCTCTCTCTCTCTTTCTCTCTCTCTCTCTCTCTTTGTGTCTCTCTCTCTCTCTTTTTGTGTCTCTCTCTCTCTCCATACTTTTATAATCGACACTTCTGAGCAACAGTTCTGATCGACACTTCTGAGCAACACTTCTGATGGACACTTCTGATCGACACTGCTGAACGACACTTCTGATTTGATTGACACTTCTGAACGAAGTGTTAATCGGAGGCGTCGATCAGCAATATCGATCAGAAGTGTTGCTCAGAAGTTTCGCATGCCTCGGAAGTGTGGCTCAGAAATGTCATATATAGAAGCGTTGCTCAGAAGCGTCGACGATCAGAAGTGTTGAGCAGAAGTTTTTCTCAGAAGTGTCGCTCAGAACTGTCGATCAGCAGTGTTTCTCATCGATCAGCCGAGCAGACGTGCGGGTCCGAAATGTTGCTAAGAAGCGTCGCGTCGCTTGGAAGTGCTTGATCAGAAGCAGAAGAAGAGTCGATCAGAAATGTTGCTCACGAGTGTTGCTCAAAAGTGTCGATCAGAAGTGTGGCCCAGCAGCGTCGCTCAGAAGTGTTGCTCAGAAGTGTCGCACAGAAGTGTCGATTAGAGGTGTTGCTCAGGATTGTCGCCCAGAAGTGTCGACCAGAAGCGTTGCTCAGAAGTGTTGTTCAGAAGTGCCGGTCAGCAGTGAGCGTTGCTCAGAAGTGTCGCTCAGAGTGTCGATCAGCAGTGTCGATCAAGAGTGTTTTTTGAGAAGTGTTGTTCAGAAGTTTTCTGCTCAGAAGTGTCGCGTCGCTGAGAAGTGTTGCTCAGAATTTTCGCTCGGAGTGTCGCTTATGTGTGTGTAGACGCGTGGCTAAGACGTGTCGCTCAGAGGTATTGTCAGAAGTGTCGCTCAGAAGTTTCGGAAAGGAGTGTCGATCAGCAGTGTCGATCAGACGTGTTGATCAGAAGCGTCGATCAGCAAATGCCGATGAGAAGTGTTGCTCAGAAGTGTTGCTCAAAGTGTCGGTCAGCAGTCAGAAGTGTTGCTCAGAGTGCCGATCAGCAGTGTTGATCAGGAGTGGTGCTAGAAGTCTTGCTGAGAAGTGTCGCGGCGTGTGTCGCTTATGTGTGTGTGTAGACGTTTGGCTCAGTGTGGCTCAGAAGTGTGGCTCAGAAGCGTCTCTCACAGGTGTTGTCAGAAGTGTCGCTCAGAAGTGTCGCGTCGCTCAGAAGTTTTGATCAGAAGCGTCGATAGGTCAGAAGCGTCAGCAGTGCCGATCAAAAGTGTTGGTCAGAAGTGTCACGTGGCTCAGAATGTGTTGCACAGAGGAGTCGCTCGGAGTGTCGACTATGTGTGTGTAGACGTTTGGCTCAGAAGTGTGGCTCAGAAGTGTCGCTCACAGGTGTTGTCAGAAGTGTCGCTCAGAAGTGTCGCTCAGAGTGTGGCTCAGCAGTGTCGATCGGAAGGGAAGTGTTGTTCAGAAGTGTTGCTCAGAAGTGTAGCTCAGAAATGTCAAATAGAAGCATTGCTCAGATGTCTCGATCAGAAGCGTCGATCAGGAGTTTCCATCAGAATTGTCGCTCAGAAGTGTCGCTCGTGAAGTGTCGCTCAGAAGTGTCGATCAGAGGTGTTGCTCAGAAGCGTCGATCAGAAATGTTGCTCAGAAGTGTCAATCAGAAGTGTTGCTCAGAAGTGTCGATCAGACGTGTCGATCAGAAGTGTTGTCCAGAAGCGTCGATCAGCAGCGCCGATCAGAAGTGTTGCGCAGAAGTGTCGGTGTTGCTCAGAAGTGTCGCTCATATTGTCGCTCAGCAGTGTCGATCAGAAGTGTTGCTCAAAAGTGTTATTCAGAAGCGTTGCTCAGAAGTGTGGCTCAGAAATGTCAAATAGAAGCGTTGCTCAGATGTCTCGATCAGAAGCGTCGATCAGGAGTTTCCATCAGAATTGTCGCTCAGAAGTGTCGCTCGTGAAGTGTCGCTCAGAAGTGTCGATCAGAGGTGTTGCTCAGAAGCGTCGATCAGAAATGTTGCTCAGAAGTGTCGATCAGAAGTGTTGCTCACAAGTGTCGATTAGAAGCGTTGCTCAGAGGTGTTGCTCTGCAGTGTCGCTCAGCAGCGTCACTCAGAAGTGTCGCTCAGAGGTGTTGAGTGTGGCTGATGTGCGTGTTGTGGCTCAGAAGTGTTGCGCAGAGGTGTTGTCCGCAGTGTCGCTCAGGAGAATCGCTCAGAAGTGTTGCTCAGACGTGTCGCTCACAAATGTTGCTCAGGAGTTTCGCTCAAAAGTGTCGCTCAGATATGTGTTTAGAAATGTTGCCCGGACTGTCGCTCAGAAGCGTGTATGTGTGTGTAAAGTGTAAAAGTGTCACTTGAAGTGTTGCTCAGAAGCGTCGCTTATGTGTGTGTAGAGGTGTCGCTCAGTTTGCCGTAGCTTGTCACTCAGAATCATGGCTTCAGGATTGGCGCTTGACGCAATTCGAAATATCGCTTGTAAGTGTGTTCAGAGGTTTCGCCCGTGCTCAAGCTCTTGCTCAGAAGCGTCTCTCAAAAGTGTCAGTGACAAGAGTCGCTTACGAGTGTTGCGTTGAAGAACCTTAGAGGTGTCGGTTGAACGGTCGGTCAGAAGCTCAAAGGCTTCGCTCAAAACATGGCTCCAGCTGGAGTACATTGCTCGAGTTGCCGAAATGCACATTCCCAAGACCATCCTTTGCATGCGGGTTCGTGGTTTCTATCAGGTTATGTTCTTTTTATTTTGGGGGGGGGGTCCTTTCGGTTGCCCTTTAAAACAAACAATTTACAAACAAGCAAAAGGGGGTAGCAACTCCAAAAGGAATGAAGAGCCCATTTTGAGAACCCAAGGTACTCAGTTCTTCAAGCCAAAGAGGTTGAGGGCTTGCGCTTCGTGCAGCTGCGGAACCCCTGGGGCCACGATGAATGGGGCGGCCCATGGAGCGACCGCTCGGACGAGTGGGCGGCCAATCCAACGATCCAGGAAGGTCTGAAGGCGGGAATCTGATCGGTGTCTTTCGGAATCGGACCGGAACCCCAAAATGGTTTTGGGCTGCTTGACTGTTGAGTTGAGCCGATTTTTGGGTACTGCGCCTTGCAGGCAACACCAAAAGGAAATCCGCTTTCAAGCCACTGCAGGCCTAGCTGGTGATTTCATGCGGGTTTGCTGATTTCATGCGGGGGTTGGTGCTTTATGTCTGAGGAGGCAAGGAGTAGTTTTCTGGCGATGGTTGAGGAACTTTGGACTGTGTCCTCGGCTGATCTCTATCCTGGTTGATGAGCTGTGTTCCATTGTGCGCTCTCTTTTCCCAAGCCTGTAGACGCATTTGCAGTTCTGTCAGGCAAGTTGTGGTTTCAGGCGTGTTGAATGAGTTTGCCCGCTGGGCCATTACTAACAAACCCTGAGACTGACAGGACATGCCCTCCCATCAGTCAGTCAGGTGGAACCTCCGCGACTGCCAGGCTTGTAAAAACCGACTTCAAAAAGTGGCTTTGCCCTGCATAAGCACACTTGTTTGGGGTTGAGGGCGCTGGGCCTGGGCTGAGGACGCCAAAGACTGGGCACTGAACTGACAGACTTGTGTTCCCATCCAAAGCCAAGAAGCGCTTGAAAGCCACTGCTCACCTAGTAGATGGCGTCTTTCATTCGTTCGGGTTAGCGCGCGGCGTACGTGAACGTGTGTACGGTTGCTAGTACGTGTTCTGGTCACCTGTATACTTATATTAAGTGTGCTGTGTACGTGTCACTGTGCGTGGACATGCACGTGTACGTACACGTGCACGGAACAAGAACATCTAGCGCAACGCACATGTGCACACCTACAAACAAATGTGCAGTGCTCCTCGTGGGAATGCCACCCGCTATCGTGATTCATCTTAAAAATGATCTAGACCTTATAATTTATTATAATTTAGATCTGGACCTGGTGGCCCAGGCCCCCAGCCATCACAGTTCATCATAGTTTTGATTCGGCCCCTATACTTTATCATAATTTGATCCGGACCCTGAGTGACTAGGCCCTTTCTGATTTGGCCCTTGCGGCCAGCCCAGGCCTATCATAGTTTATCATAATTTTGATCCGGAGCCTGACGGGCCAGGCCCCACATCATAATTAAGCAAAATTTTGGGCTCGCCCTTGCTGGGCCAGCCCAGACCTATCATAGTTTATCACAATTTTGATCCGGACCCTGATGGACCAGGCCCCAAGCCATCATAATTTTGATTTGGCCCTTGCTAGGCCAGACCAGACCTATCATAGTTCATCATAATTTTGATCCGGACCCACAATGCGCCACGCTGGTCCACCATAGCCAGAACAGCTCACCATAGCTTTCCGGACAGGTTATCATGGTTGAGCAAGACTTATCATGCAGCCACGATGACACATCATGATCATAGTTTCTCATGATCCATCATAATCTAAGAGTATGAAAAATAGAAATATGGCTTGTCATGGGTTGCCATTGTGTTCTTAGTGTAGCTGGAGCGAAGCCGGGTTGATCCTGCCAGTACCATCTACGGCAAGGGCCCCGGCCGCAAGGCCCGCAGCCGGACCTACGGTTGGCGGCAAGGCCAATCTAGCTTGGAACTCAGTGACCCCTCAACCCGGGTCTACCCTGGCCGCTACGGCTTCCCACCATCTACAACCTACGGTTGGAACTCCCTCAGCCAGGGCCAGCCACCAGTCTACGCCAGACGGCAACTTGAAGTTGCTGTAGGGTGTGGTTTTATGGGGCCCGTCTCGGATGCCTACGGCCAAGTTTTTCAGAAGTTGTTGTCCGCGTAGCGGCCGAAAGCCTACGGCAACTTCAAGTTGCCGTAGGTTTCGGGCCGTCGGGCAAACACGGCTGAAAACCTACGGCTAATGTCAGGAGACGATTAGTAAACCCCCCGATTAAAGTTTTCCCCTTCCCCCCCAAGTTCCAACCAACACTAAAGTAAAGGGCCAACAAGATTTCCTGAAAAAGGCCTGCCCGATAATTTTTGAAAAAACCCACAAAACCCCACCCCTGTGTTGCTTTTTGTTGCACATTGACCTATTCACACACTCCGCTGACATGTTTGCTCAAGGCCTTTCAAGTCATTTGTACTCATGGTACATTCATAAAAAGGCTTGCAGACCGCTTTACAGGTATAACAGACCATCCATCCTCCAATCCTCCTTCTCCGGAATAGATCCAGGGACCAAATCAACAACCTCTACTACCGCAGGGTACCAGTTCCTTTCTGGGATAGACGGCTGGGCCTCAATGTAGCGGAGCCTGTTCTTGCAGAGATTCAAGAAAAGAGGTCATCCGATGGAGAAGGCTTCAGGCTATACGGAGGAAACACTCAACTTATCGATGACCGCCACATCGTACGACGGAAAAATCAGCTGGTTTAGGTATGAAGAACTCGTGGGGGACTGGGTGACAATCACTACGGTGGAAGCACCCAGAGAGGACCTCTGCTCAAAAGCAGACTCACTGGAGATGCCTATATGCACAAGGCAGTCCTCCAAAATGACCTTTTGCAAGATCGTGATGAAGGAGTCAACTACTTCAAGAACACGCTGAAGAAGTGCTTTTTGAAAGGTGCGACCAACGTGTTCCTCAGTTTCTTCAATCATAGAAGGCAGAACCAAGAGTTCCTCATTTTTACCTCAAAATTCGAAATCCTTCTCATGAGATTGAGGGCAGCATGGATGGACTTGATGCCCGTTTTCACGGCGCAGTCCCCATCATTTCGACAGTCCGTACAGGACGCAAATGCAAGAACAATTGCTCGACACCAGCAAGCAGATGGTACTCGAGTACCGCCTCCAGTCCTGCTCAATGAGGAAGACCCGACAGTCCTAAGACAGTGTATCGCAGGAATGCAGGACAGACAGCGAGACGCATTTCCCTTCGAAGATAATCTCATTGCGCAGTTTTTCATTATCCAGTGAATTGTCAGATCAGCAGAGAGAAAGACTGACCAGTGCGATGTGACTGAGAAACATTTGAGATGCTGAAGACGCATTACCATGAACTCTTCATTACGACAAGAACATCCATCCAAGATCCATCCATCAGACCAAGGAGGCAATCGAAGCAACACATTCTTCATCCTCGAACAAGGAGAATACGAAGGAGAAGAAGGCTTCTGGGTGGAAGACGAAGATGGACTTGAAGGATTCATGTCAAACAATGATGAAGAGACATTTTGGGTCCTCGAGGAGAACGATGCGTTCATAGCAAGAAAAGTGTCAGGGCGGAATTTCAGATTCAAAAAGAGAAAGGGAAAGGAAAATCAGGAAACAAAAAGGGCAGTCACCAACGAGGTGGCTTCAAACCCTTTCGAAAAAGCAGTTCTGACCGAAAAACCAATTTGGCCAATGAAAACGAGGATCCCTACGACCAGGCAAATTGGGAAAAAGGCAAAGGAAAGAAGGGAAAGAAAGGACAATCAAAATTCCAGTATCCCTATGATGGAAACAAGGGTTATCCATCCTACGAGAATGGCAAAGGAAAGGGCGGACATGACAAAGGAAAATCCAAGACGTTCGCAGCCATCGCAGAGAAGACGGAGGAGCAGCCCCATCCAGCAGACCGCACCATCCACAGAGCCTACATATGCCGGTTGGACAGACCAAGATTGGGATCAATCATGGACATGGAACGAACAAGGCTGGTACTCATCCCATGAAACATCCAGCGCAGGACAAGGCGTTCCATGACGCATATGAGGATCATGAGAAAGAGGCCATCCACGGGAAGCTGATCCAATCAGATGCAGTTTGCCTTTTGGCAACCAAGCTGATGGCGCCTGTCATCAGCCCTCAGCACAATCCGACCTATGCGATTCTGGACAATGGATGTACCAGATCTAGGGGCAGCTGGCATGCAATCCAGCTTTTTTCTCAGGCCATCGAACCCATGAAAGACCTCATCTCCTACCAGTACATCCCGGCCGAGACCAAGTTCACTTTTGCAAACGGAGAAACAGCCAAGGTAAATTGGACCTTGCATCTCCGATATCACACAACTGCAGTACCAACATCGACGTCCTTGAACAAGGAACTGTACCGATCCTTCTCAGCATCAGTCAGATGCGTAACCTCTACATGACCATCGAGCACACACCTCAATGTGACAAGATCACACGCAAGGCTTTTGGCATGAACCGTCAAGCAGTTCCAGTATCCGGCACAGGACATGTGCTCATCGACCTCGCGGGAGTTGCAAGAGTGAAAGCGCATGGAGAAATTGCCATCAAGGGCCTCACCAACTACGTCTACGATGATGACAACAGCATCAGGTTTCCTTCCGGGGATATCTCCAAGAGTGAAACTGTTTGTGCATCCAAACCATGCGAGACGAAGGAGGACTAGCAACTCCAAAAATCATTGGGTCTCAAAAACAGGACCATTGGACCCTTGACAAGAAGAACAAGCAGCTCATCCGTGTGCACATGACGCCTTGCAAGGCGTTGTTCACACCAAATGGAGCCAAGGAATGTCCAATCAATCCTGGTAATATTAGCCGAGTGCGTACTACGGAAATCATTGATGCATCCGAAGGTGGAGATCCAGACATCCTAGAAGACAGTTGGAGACTTACATCCCAGGCAAACAAACCATTGATTAACCTGTGGATAGGTAAGACCATTTTCACTTTCGCGGACAATTCGCTTAAGGACGAAGAAGCAGGTTCAGGATCGGCAGCAGACAGGATCATCGACAAGAAGGGCCGGTCGACCATTGAGCCAGATCCTTTTGCACCATCCTCAGAAGAACCAACGACGCTTCCGATACACTAGGCAGAATCCACAAGCGATTGTCAACTCCCGAACAGTTGAAGAAGCTCCACCTCCAGCATCATCATATGACGACAGGTCAATTTCGATTTAGAACTCGCTCGCTTCACTTGCCAAAATCAACATTCGATCTATTTGACAGAATCCGAAGTGAATGTGAAGTTTGCCAAGCGGCAAAACACGCACCATCACGAAGCAAGACGAGTGGACTCAGAGCG